AAAGGCGAAGCTGCACTACGGCTGCGACACCACCCCGGGCATAGAGCTGAACAATCATGATGGGGTGTACTTGTGGTCGTTGCGCAACGCGAAGGACGAGTTGATGAGCCTGCGTGGTAAGGAAGCCGCCGGCTACTACACTGCGCTGACGATGGCGGCGTTTGAGGACCTCGGCTACTACAAGGCCGTGTGGGGGATGGAGGAGCCGATGGTGTGGGGCAACAACTCCGGCTGCGAGTTCCTGACGAAGCCGTGCTCGGAGGAAACTCCCACCACTTTCCCCGGCATGTTCTGCGATAAAAAAGATGCGAAGTCGCTTCGCTGCACGTCCACCCGCCAAGCCATCGGGACATGTTCTGGCGATGTTGTTGACGTCAGTGGTGGCGAAAAGAAGACCTGCAGTGTTGTTCACCCGCCTCATCGTCTTCTTGAAAATCTTTTTTGCGCTGCGGAAGGGATCGACACACCGCCAGGATCCCTCCATGGAAAGGGCTCGTGGTGCCTCGATGCAGACCCACTCACGGTCAAGACTCACGATGCCTCCATTGGGGATTCCACCGTCCACGCGGTGTGTGCGGTGGTGCAGTGCGAGGGGGGCAAGGTGAAGGTGAAATATCTTGGCGGGAGCGATTTTGAGCCGTGCCCCGAGGGAAAGTCTATCACGCCCAAATCAGAGAACTTCAAGGACGGCAGAAAGATCAAGTGCCCGAGGTACGAGGAGGTGTGCACCATCGCCGCCAACGGCAGCAGCCTTGTCACGCCCCACCCTGACGACGATGGCAATGGCGGCCGCCAGAAGAAAGATGGCAGCGCGGCCACTGGGGTCGCCTCCTTCATTGGGTCTTTCGTGTTGATTTTCGTTGCCGTCGTTGCTGTTGCAGTTTCGTCTCCTCTTTGAGCAACTGTGGGGGGTGGCACCATTTCTCCGGCAGGAAGGGGGAGATAGCGAACGTATTGTGTTTCACGCGGATTGTAGGTGTTGCTGCGTGTGTACGGTGGGCATAATCGGAAAGAGGAATGTACGCGTTGTCTCTGCGTTCTTTGTTGTTTTTGTTTCTTTTAACATAATTCTGTTTGTTTGTTTGTTTTTTAAGCAGTATACGTCTGACTTCTTCCTAATGCCGTTTTGGTTTCGGCCACTGATGTAAGTTCAACTGTCTGTTCATGTTTCTTTTTTTTTTAATCTGCAATATATATATATATATGTCCCTGCCACCATATGTGTCTGTTATTGTGGATTTGACGGTTGGCCCCCTCATTTCTGCAGGGTCGGAGTCTAATGTGGGGCTCTGCTTTTGCTGATTTAAATGTTTTTTTTTGTTGGGTTTCATCGTGTTGGGTGTGTGGCGATGAAAAAAAGAAATGTGTGATGTTGAGGGTCTGTTTTTTATTTTTTATTTATTTTTTGTTGTTCTTCTTGGTGTTACCATTGCAGGTATGGCGATGGGCTGGCAGTTGTTTTGAGAGGGGGTGGAGTGGTGCGTGATGTATCGGATGTGTTCAATTATTGTCAGCCTCGGCCTCAGCCTCAGCCTCGCGGCGCTTAAGCGTTCACTGGGGAAAAAAGGCACGGGTGTCGACTGCATACGCTGGCGTGCTTGACGACCGATGTGTTGCTGCTGGGCTGGTATTAAAGGGGGCTCAGTTTGTCTGTGTGTGTGTGTATGAAGGGAATTTGGGGATTCTGCTGTGTAGTGGAATTGTCACTTCTTTTCGTTTTCTACTTTGCGTTTTGTTTTTTTTTTTTTTCACTCACATCGCATGTGAGTACGTCGGTGAGTTTCTCTCCGACGGGGGCTCGTGTAAAGGGGTACGCTCTCGGGACGAAGGAGTGGGGAGTGGCCTTGGCGACGTGGAGACGGCAAAAGGCGGGGAGCCAGTGAGTAAGAGAGGGGCTGCATGGCGTCCACCACACAAGCACGCTCGAGCATCACGCGTCGAAGTTTCTGGAAGCTTGTGGGTGTTGGTGTGTTTTTCGCGGGGTCCACGGGCGGTGGTCTGCTGCTGTACTACCGCCACGTCTGGTTGCCAGAGAGGCAGCGGGCGGCGCAGCTTTCGTGCATGCAGCCGCCTGTTCGCCGTACACAGCCATACATCGCCGGTGCTAGCGGCCGCGGCCGTAGCAGTCCCGGGGCGAATGGTGATCCGTGTGACCCCGCGCAGGAGGCGGCCGCGGTAGGTGTGTTTGGGGCCCCGTTGCGTGCCCTCTCCGTCGTCACCTTCTACTGTTTTGTGGTGTTTCGCACAATGTTGCTACTGACGCACATGCTGCCGGTGATGTGGTACGCCTTCCTCACGTACGGCCTGCACCTGTGCGGGGAGAAGGTCCTCTTTGAAAAGCTGCGGGAGGCGTTGACGGCGATGGGTCCGAGTTACATTAAGTTCGGACAGTGGATGGCGACACGGCCGGACTTTTTCCCGCCGTCCCTCTGCACTGCGCTGGAAAAGCTCTACGACCACACGGCCTCCCATGGCTGGTCCCACACAGAGAAGCTTTTGCGGCGCACCTTCCGTGAGGCCGCACCTGCAGAGGGCGGGAACACGTCTTCTGCCATCCCAACCGCGTCATCCTCGCAGGCAACGAGGACGGCGAGACCGGGGAAGTTGCAGTTGGTGGAGCAGCAGCCGCCGCCGAAGCGGAACGCGCTGTACTACCTTTGCGAGATTGAAACCGTGCCCGTCAACAGCGGGAGCATCGCGCAGGTGCACCGTGGGGTGCTGCGGGAGGCGGTGGACGGCATTCCCGCCGGGACTGAGGTGGCGATTAAAGTCACACATCCCCGCATTCGCTGGTCCGTGGCGGCGGACTTGGTTGGCATGCGCTGGTTTGTGCACGCCCTCACGTTTATCCTTCCCAGCATCGTCTACTTTGATCTGGAGCGGAGTGTGGAGGAGTTCTCGTCGTTTATTCAGTCCCAGCTGGACCTGCAGCAGGAGTGTGACAATCTGCAGCAGTTTATATTCAACTTCCGCGACTTTCCTGGTGTCATCTTCCCCCGTCCGCTGCCCTCGCTCTGCTCACGGGATGTGCTGATTGAGACCTTTGAGGAGGGCCAGCCCCTGCAGGATATTCAGGGTGGGAAAAACTACGCGGATGTCGCAGAGCGGGGATGTCACATGTTCCTCAAGATGCTCTTTGAGGACAACTTTGTGCACTCCGACCTACACCCCGGCAACCTGCTGCTCCGCACAAATCCCGGGGCCCCTGTCAGCAGCGTGACCGCCTCACTGCGACCGCCCTCCGCCGACGCATGCTACCCTGATGGAAGGATGAAGCTCCGCCACGAGCTCATCGTGCTGGACACAGGCCTCGTTTCGACGCTGTCGAAGGAGGAGCGCAACAACTTCATAGCCCTTTTTGCGGCGGTGGCGTGTGGCGACGGCAAACTCGGTGCAGACCTTATGCTGGACCGCATGCCAGAGACCCGTGGCCCTAAACGTGAGGTGAACCGTGAGAAGTTTCGGGAGGACATGCAGGCGATCTTTAATATTGTTGCCCCTGAGAACTCGGAGGGCTTTAAGCTGAGCAAGGTCCGCATAGGCCCGGTGCTAGCTAAGATCATGAGCACGTTGCGCGAGAATCGGACGCCTATTGACGGCAACTTTGCCTCGCTCGTTCTTACTGTGATGGTGGGGGAAGGGCTCGGGCGCAGGTTGACGCCTGATTTCAATCTCTTTGGCGAAGCGGCGCCGTACCTGGTGGCGCTGCTGGAGGACGGCGAGCTGTGCTTCCTGGCCTCAAAGCTGCGCGAGACATACGGTACCCCCGCGCTGCTGCGTGACTCGGTGCACTTTGTGCGGCCCGAGCGCACGGCAACTTACGCGGAGGTGGCCGTCAAAAAGGTAGTGAAGAGTGTAGGGCGGCTCTGGCGGCGGCTGACGGCCACGACGACGGAAACCGACGCGGACACGGTGCAAAATTGACACAGTGACGAGGTCCACAGTCGATGCGGATGTGTCCTCACGTCTGTGGGGCTCCCCCTGAGGTGTTAGCAGAGTGAAAGGAGGGGGGAGGGGGGAAGAAGAGAGAGGACAGCGTGTGTGCGTGATTATTATTATTTTGTTTTGCGTGGGCGCGTGTATGTATGAGCCGATGCTTGTGTTGTCCCCAATGCCTTCCTTGCCACCCTTTGCCCCACCTCTCCTAGCAGAAGAGGGAACTTCTTTTTGCAGGTCGTTTTCTCTTTTTGTGGCTGTCTGAGTCCCGCACCATCTGTCATTTGTTGTTGTTTGTCTGTTTATTTGTTTTATTATTCGTGTTGTTGTTCGTGTGGCTGTCCTTTTTTTTTCCCCCCTTCACAACCCACCCACCCCTGCGCAGTGGAGAGACAAGGTGGGAAGAGGGGATTTTTTTGGCGGGAGTGCGTCTGAAGGAAATAACAGCAAGAGCAAAGAAAAAAAAACGGCAAGGCGTGTGGTGTAGGGCCGAGGGAGCTCTGCCTTCACCGGGGGCTGGGAAGTTGAGTGGAGACACATACACATCCTGTATCCCCTTCGCACGCGTGCGGAAGCGGCTGTGCGGCGTCGCGGATGCCTCCCAAGCGGAAGAAGGGTGGGGCGCGCGGGAAAAAGGGGAAGCAGAAGCCGTTCGTAGACCCAGATGAGGGGTATCGTTGTGCCCTGGACGAGCGATACTACATTCCCAAGCACACTCGCGCCAACATCAACCAGAGCTACCTGCGGAAGATCCTCCTCGCGATCAGGTCCTTCACGTTGGCGCAGCCGCCACTGGAGCTAGAGACGCTGGCCTTACGTGAGGAGGCGGTGGAGGGGGAGATTGCAGTGTGTGTGCCTCTGCACGTGCTGCCGCATATTGTGCGCGCGCTTGGGTTCAATCCCAGCGAGGAACAGATGCGGCAGCTTGCGTGGATCGTCTTGTATCATGGGAAGCAGCCACAGCTGCATGTGCCAGAGTCGGACGCTGGCACCGTGGTGTCCTCGCAAGAAGCCGGGCCGCAGGACGCAGAGGCAGGGACGGAGACGCATGTCAAGGTGAAACTAGAAGACATGCTGGGGAACCCTCTCGATGAAACGTTGGCGTGGGCCACCAGACAAGGGAAGCAGCTGATGGTGGATCGCGGCAAGCTTGAGGCAGTGCTGCTGGATATCATGCACACGGGGCTGCTTGTTTTTGATCCAGCGAGGTGTATGCAGGGTGAGGCAGTCGGGCCCGCTCACGAACGCGTCGTTTCCGTTGTGGACCGTGTTAATCCGGAGGTTGTGGACGACGTGTTTGATGCATTTTGGACTTCCTCCCTTCGCCACAAGTGCAAGGACGGGGTGCGCTACATCTATGTCAACGACCTGGAGCGTCTGATGACCACCGCCAACGTGGCTGCAGAACACAGCGAGTTGCCCTTGACGCCGGAGGAACTGCGGACCTTCCTTTTTTTTGTTAACGAAACTGGGTCTGACATAATACGCGAGGACGCCTTTGCACTGATGGCGCTCTGAAGCGCCATCCAACCGATGGAACCCGGTGGGGGGGGGGGATATGTTACCTGCATCGCCTCCGCTGTGTGTGTTTGTTTGTTTGGTCCGGCACCTCTCTACCGTGTTCTCTCTCTCTTTCTATCTATCTATCTATCTCTCTCTATTGCGGTATGTAACTGTTCATGTATAGCTGCATCAATGTAAGCTGTGTTTGTATGCGTGTGTGTTGCAAATTGGGAAAATGGTGAGGAAGTTTTTTTAACATTATCACTATGCAATTTTATTGCTGCTGTTGTTATGGGCGCTTTGCCGCACTGCATCGCTGCGGCTACTTTTTTGTTTTGGCAGTGACGGTGGATATTTATTTTTATTTGTTTTGTTTTCCCTTCTCCCCATCTCTCCATCTCCCACATTTATCCTGTGCTCGCGTCTGCCGTTTTTGTTTTTTTTTTCTCCCGTGCCCCCGCAGTAGCCCATAGAGGGAAGGAAGGAAGGGGCGACGCGAGACGAGGCCGTGGGGCTACGCACTGCAATAGCTACACGTATTTATATAGAGTGATATAGTAGGGGAAAATTATTGGCATTGTTGCGTGGCGCGGGGCTCAGCGATGGATCAGCTAGAGAGCATCTTAAGCGGCCTGGCGCCGGGGCACATAGAGCGGGCGGTGCAGCTGCTGCAGCGCTACACTGCGGCACCAGGCGCGATCCGAGGGGAGGTGACGGGAGACGCGGAGCCCTCGTCGGTGGGCCTCAAAGACGGTGACGGTGTCGAGGTCGGTGGCGGCTGTGACGCCTTGGCGGGCGGGGCGGAGGCGGTGAGCTCCGTTATTGCCATCGCACTGCAGCAGGCGATCCGTGTTGGCCCCGCATCCACCGCGGCCAACGCCGCGAGCACCGACTATGAGGACGACGACGACATTCCCTTCGCTGCGCTGGTGCAGAAGCGGCAGCAGCAGGCACACGAAGCCCGCGCCCGGGCTGCGGAGGAACACGAAGAGGAGCATCCAACGAGTCGTGGCGGCCGCACTCTTGCGCGCAAGGGCAATTCGTTGGCGAAGGGGGTGGGCTCGCTTTCGTCGCAGCAGAAGCAGCACCAAGCACCCGCTATCGCCGCGCGCAGTCTTGCTAGTTTTGGATTTGTCACTTCCGCCAGGAAGCCGGCAGCGACAGCTGGGGACAAGAAGAAGCTGATTACACCCTTTGTGCAGGACAGGCGCGTAGTACCCGTGGCATTGCGGTTTTGGTGTCATGACGAGGACGCGCCCGCAATGCAGGCAGAGCCGTTGGTACCCGCGCTCCAGCCGCATGCGGCGGCAGTGGCGGAGGAGCCGTGGAGCATCGCCGTGAATGAAGAGACCTCCTCGCTGCTGCACTCGCCCGTGATGTTCTGCGGCGACAAGGAGGAGGCGGAGCAGCAGCAACACGAGGGGCCAGCACGGCGCTATGCATCCTTCACGGCGATGGTAGATGCCACCACCACCACGTGTGTCGGTAAAGGAAGCGAGCGAGAGCCGCGTTTGCAATGTCCCTGTACGTACCACGTGAGACTTGCTGCCCCACGCACCGGCTTCAGAAATGAGGTGGTCTTTTGCGGTTTCTACGCGATTGGCTACGACCCGTGCCAGGCCCGTCCCCCGTACTTTGGGACGTACAACAGTCAGGACGCGCTGAACACGGAGGAGCTGCTGCAGCTGGCACGCTTTGACACCGGGAAGGAGATGATACGAATCTCAAATCTCGATTACGAGTACGACTCCGGGGATGACTGGGACGTGGTGGAGGGGGACGAGGACCTCGAGGCGTCCAGCAGCGACACCGACGATGAGGAGGATGACGACGAGGCGGAATCCGACAGCGACAGTGGCGGAGACTTCATCAACGACAACAACGACGAGGATGGCGACTCAGATGCGGAGCTGCAGCGGAAAATGGTGGAGGAGCGGCAGCGGCGGCTTAATCGGCTGCGGCACAAGGATAAGCTGGTCCCAGCCTTCAGTGGACCGTTTGTAGGCGTCCCCTGGCTTGAGCACCCGCTCCGTGCATACGACAGGCTGGAGCGACTGGGCTCCGCACTCGACGGCGCCGCATTCACAGCATTGATGGAGCAGGAGATGCGTGGGTTGGGCTCCGTCATGGCTTCAAGCTCCCCCCGTGCCGCCAATGGGGGTGGGAGCGGCGCTGAGGCGACGGATGCGGATGCGGATGCGGATGCGGGTGGCACGGTGGATCACATGGAAGAGCGGATGCTGCAACAGCGGTTGGTCGCGGCGGCGCTTCGCAACCGGCGAGAGATGCTGCCGGAGGAACTGGACGCCGTGCACGCCATCGTGGCGGCGAACGGGAAGGTGTCGCCCAAGGCCATCGTGGAGGCCCTGCAGGAGCAGCATTTGTGCGTGGGCGTTGCGCGGGCGGAGATTCTTCGCACCATTCGACGGTACTATGAACGCAAGCATAACACGATGGTGCGGCGGACGGAGCCGTGGTCTCCAACGGACGAGCGGCTTTTTACGAAGCATCGGGGCGGCGGGGGTAACAGCAACAACAGGAATGATCCCACCCAGAAGGAGAGTAACAGCAATAATAACAGTAACGGTGCGCTGGAACGCGGCCGCGGGGAGGATGAGGAGGAGGAGGACTGTGAAGGCGATGAGGATGTGCCGCTGATGGAACTCGCACGCAAGCGGCCACGCGAGGAGGCGGATAAGATTGTGGTGGAGGCTGAATGACTTCCCTCCTTCCCTCCCTCTTCCCTCTCCCCTTCTTCTCCATGACCACCTTCCCGCACTCACGCAGTCTCGCCTCCAGAGTGAAGTGGGTGCATGATGCAGTGGAAAGACCAGGGATGATAAGAGTCGGTTTCTTTGCTTTTTGTGTCTTTCCTCCTTGGATGATGATGTTTTGTTTTTGTTTTTTTTTGTTTTTGCGTACCTCCATCCCACTTCCGCGGAAGTAAGCACGGCCTGACATGCCGCCGCGTCGCTTAAAACAAAAAAGAGGTGGGGAAGGGCAGGTATGGCTCCTCGGCACACATGTGGCATTCCTTCTTTCTTTTTTCTGCACCGCAGTTAGGTGAAGTAGCTGTGTTTTCTCCAATCCTTTGTCTTTTTCTTTTTGTGTGTGTGTATGCTGACTCTGTGGCGTCTCGCCTTGCAGGAAGGGGAGTGAAGCTGCATTTTGTGGTCCCAAGTGTTTTAGGGGTGCTGGCGTGGAGGAGTGCGTAGGAAAGATGGGTGCGGGGAATTCACAGGCGATGGCGAGGGTGCAGGGCAGTGGCGACCCTACACCGGACGAGCACGCGCTGCGCTGTGAGGGGTGGACGATGGAGAAGCCCATACGATCATGGTCCGCGTCTGCGATGACGTGCGTGGATGACGTCGTGGTGCCGTCTCCGGGACCGGGGCAGGTGCGGGTAAAGATATATGCCGCGTCAGTTAATCCAATCGATGTGAAGCGGCCCACCTTCGGCTGCAGCACCGGCTTCTTCAGCCGGCACGGCGGTGGCGGTGGCGGAGGCAACAGTGCTGGCAGCAACGGCACTAACGTCAGTGAGAGGGCTGCAACGTCAACTCGACGCGCACCGCTCGAGTTCCCTTTTCCCTACGTGATGGGCACAGAAGGTGCCGGTGTGATAGAGAGTGTTGGGTGGAACAATGATGACCTGCAGCAGCGCGAGCAGTACGGTCTGCAGGTGGGTGACCGCGTCGCCTTTCTTGCAGACATCGCAATGGCAAATGGCGGGACATTCTGTCAGTATGCCGTGGTGGAGGCCGATGCCGTTGGAAGGATCCCAGCTTCCACCAGCGAGGACGTGATTGACTTCGTGGAGGCTGCCGCGATTCCGTGTGCCGTGGGGACGGCGTACGTTGCCCTGTTTGACAAGTTGCGTGTCTCATCTGGGCGCAGCATATTTATCAGCGG